AACACAACTACTACTATTGTCACCCCCATAAAACCTTCTCGCAAACCGATCACATTTTTTTAAGTGTAGGCATGGTCCCCGAAATTGTGGCATCAGTGATAATCCCCTTCACTTGGTCGGATCATAACGCAGTGTTAACTACCATAGCTTCCCCTATTCTAACGGCCCGCGACACCTCTTGGTGCCTTAACGATTCTTTGCTTAAAAAGCCGTCACATCGCACAGATATTGAAATAGAAGGATTACTTACTACACAATTCCACCCCTGATATATCCCCTCTCATTTTATGGGAGGCACAGAAGCCGGTGATTCGAGTGGCGATTATACGCCAATTGACGCACCTCAAGCGGGAACGCAAAACTCTATTTCACAAACTGGAATCTGACTTTAACTCCTGTTATACGGCGTTTCAAACCGACCCATCCCCGACAAATAAAATCCGACTAGACAAAGCTCATTTGGAGTTTGACTTATTCTCAACTGACTCGGCAGATAAATCCTTGAGACGTTTATGACTGTTATGGACCACCTGATGTACTCTAGCAGTCCCCAGGACAGGATTCCCCAGGGCGCGGAGTCTAAGCCCCAGTCCTCTTGTTCACCAGAGCCCATGATGGTGGGGATGGGCTTGGAGCGGACAGTGACCAGATCGCGGCCCCTGAGTGCACCCACCTGAGGTAGAGGAATCACAAGAGGTAATGACAGGTAGAGAGCCTGGTGTGAAGAGGCAGACAGGTCTGGAAAATAGCAGCTAATCCGTGCGGGTCGGATGGATGGCTGAGCAATAGCATGGTCAGACGGGCCGGGTCGGTAACGGGTGGACAGCGTGGTACAGGACAGCAGGCACAGAGGAATCAGGTCACTCACCGGGTCTGGTAACAGAAGTTCAGATCAGAAGGGATATCCAGAAGTGTAGTCAAACGAGCCAGAGGGTCAGGGCAGGAGAATATCAGCAAGGTCCGGTTCAAGCAAAGGTCAGCAACAGTCAGGAATCAACTCACAGATTACAGGAACAAGATCAGACCATAAGGCAACTTGTGTCTGTGCAGGGCTGGTTTAAGTAGCCCACCCTGCACCTGACAGGCGCAGCCAAGGTCCTAGTGCCTGCCCAGCACCGTCATAGGTGACGGGTGCGCCTGGGTCCTAGCGCCTGCCCAGCGCCGTCATAGGTGACGGGTGCGCCTGGGTCCTAGTACCCTGCATGTCTTGACAGACACCTACGCATGTGCAGACCCATGCGTCGCGATGGTCCCTGACACCGACATAAATATTATCTCAAAGCTAACACACCAGACACTCTGCTCGCCGCTCGTACCCTTAAATCTATGGACAAACCCTAAAAGCCCATTAGAGTTAAAGTTGTCCTATCAATGAAGCCGAGGTATCACGGTCCCCCTCCCTTTCTCCCTCTCTTCCCCCCTCTCCGGATTCCTGCACCCCCCTCCTTCCCCATTGCATGTCCCTGCTCCCGAACGTAGCCCACATAAAGTGGTGTGCTGGGAGTCAGGGAGCTGCCTCCTGAGGCGAGTCCTCACACCTCTCCTCGGCCGGGCGCCAAGGAGTCTCCACATGCAGGCCACCTAGGTGTCTCCGTGTCTCAGCGGGCACAGCGCGGCCTCGAGGTTCTAGTGCTCTGCTCCCACCGGAGACAAAGGCCGCACTCTCTGTGCATGGGCGGGGTGAGGGGGTGGGGCTTGTTGCCACAACAACATGGCACAAGGTCATTGCCTGGCAACCGGGGAGCATCCTGCTCCAGCGATAAAAGACCGGAGCAGGGAGTTCTGCCCCTGCTCGTAACCCAGGGTGCTGTGAGAGGTCATGTGCGGCAGCCAGACCCTACAGCCAATCAGACTGCCCTTCTGCTGTGTGCACAGACTTAACCAATTGCCTGCCAGCCTGCCTTCTGCTGTTTGCCAGGACTTAACCCATTGCCTGCAAGCCTACCTTCTGCTGTGTGCCCTGACTTAACCTATTGCCTGCCAGCCTGCCTTCTGCTGTGTGCCCAGACTTAACCCATTGCCTGCCAGAACTGCCCTCTGCTGTGTGCCCAGACTTAACCCATTGCCTGCCAGAACTGCCCTCTGCTGTGTGCCTCCCAGACTTAATCTTTGCCTTCCAGAACTGCTTTCTGCTGTGTGTCTCTGGACTTAACTCTTGCTATACCCATCAAGCGCCCTCCAAATCACTCAATAAAAGCCTTGTGTGCCCCACTGCTCCCCGCGTGTGTTCTGTCCCACCTACACCTCCGTCACACAAGGTATCCTTGGCCATCCTTGGCTTGAAAGTAAATAAATGCCCAGGACCGGACGGTTACCCCACCTTGTATTACAAATCCTTCACTGAGCTTTTAACACCTCTACTAACTAGTTCTTTCAACACCCTACTCGATGGACAATCCTTGTCATGGTCTGGGTCAGGTTCAGAGACCAGTTGCTATAGCAGTGTTAAGGCTTACCTGAAACCAGCAGGATAGTTACACAGGCAGGTCACCCTGGGAAAGGATGCAGGTTCACCTGAGGTGCGGGGTCTAAGCACCAACCGGTTTTCACCAGAGCTCCTAATGGTGGAGATGGATTTGGCTGCATGTTAGTACCAGGTCGCAGATCTCAGGATCACCCCACCAGGGAATGAGCAAGCCGGAAACCAGTAGCAGATCGAACAAGTTAAAGGATCAAGCAGAAGCGGAGTCAGTCAACAAGCCAAGGGTCGGTCACAAACGGTAGTAGATGAGGATGAGGCGAAATCATAGTCCAGAAACAAGCCAAAGGTCGGTAGCGAAGGTATAGACGGCAGCAGGAGAGACAAGCGGGAAATTGGCTGGTGAAGGCACAATAATATGGCAAGAGAAAGTGCAGAGACATGGCTTTTATCAGGAAGTTCATGGGAGGAGCAAGGGGTTCAAGGTTCAAGACAAACAGGGCCAGGGCAGGATCATCCAAATAATTGTCAAAGGAGCTGTCCAGCATTCCAGGTGGTTCAACAAGAAGAAACATTGCCACTCCCTGCAGAAGGCCCAGGTTCAAACCCAGGCTCTGACAATCCTTTCACTTGGAATCTCTAACAGCTATCATCTGTAATCCCTAAGCCTCATTCTGACGAATTCATCTCTAATGAATATTGACATTAAGCTTTTAGCCAAAATCCTCGCAACTAGACTGAATACAATCATCGGGGGTCAAGCAGTGTGATAGCACCTGCAGCTAGAGCATGGCGTATCCCTTTCTGATTCCTTTCACTTGATATTAAAAAAGCATTCAATGCCATATCCTGGCCATACCTACATTATATCCTACAAAAGTGGGGATTTGGCCACACTTCCTACGCTGGATTTCAGCTTTATACGACTCACCAAGAGCGTACATCAAATATGCCGGTTACAAATCAGACTTCCTTCACATTGGCAGGGGCACGTGCCAAGGCTGTCCATTATCTCCTCTGTTATTTGCCCTTCTTATCGAACCATTAGCATAAACACATTCATTCTGACCCCAAAATCAAAAATCGAACTTGGTGACCACATCACAAATTGTGCTTATTCTTACTGTTCTTATCCACCCCACTCATTTTGGCATCGAACCTGCTGGCCACACTCAGTTTGCTTCTCTCTCAGTAAATGTCCAGAAATCTACTGCTCCTAATAATGTATATCCTTAACGGAGGAGGAGAAGCAGCTATCCCAAGCAGCGCTACCTTTCTCATGGGCACTCCATCACCTTCCCTATCTGGGTATAAAGCTCACCGCTCCTCATAACGACCTCTTTGCTGCCAACTACCCCTCGATACGTGAACAAGTGACTGCTTTAATGTCACGATGGTCCTTTCTCCCACTTTCACGGATAGGCAAAATCAATGTTCTCCTGATGGTCAAACTGCCCAAACTACTATATCTTTTTAGAGTTTTGCCAATGCCCATCCCAGCCTATTTCCTGAAGATCCTACAAAGAAGAGCTAGGGCTTATGTTTGGGGAGCAAGGAAACCAAGAATACACAAATCCACACCTTATCTCCACAAACTTAGTGGCGGATTGGGTCTCCCTCCTTTCACCTCCTACTACTATGCAGCTCACTTAGCGCATCTGCCCAAATACCATGCAGTCAGTGAAACCCCCTATGGGTGTCCATAGAATCAGTTGATTGTGACCTTCTGACGGTAGCTAACTTGCTGTGACTGCGACGAGCAGACCTAGCTTCTTTGTGCAACCCAATTGTTTGTTGTAAGCATTCTGAAAATCAATAAAAAGTAAACTATAAAATATATTTTATATATATATATATATATATACACAGTATATATATATTGTGTGTATATATACAGTATATATATATAAAAATATTTTTGCATATAAATACATTTTTTTATTTATTAATCAAATTGGAGATATTTGTATATCTGGCGAGAAATCACATCGGTAAAAAGAATTCCGGAAAGTTACATTGTGGTGCCATATTTTATCGAGGTATCTGTATTATTCAATATTATTTTGCTGTAATGGCTGGAGGCGCTGTGTCCTAATTATATACGAGAGTCAGACACCGCCCACTTCATTAATAATTCATAAATCGTATTGCTGACCGCTATACAGAATCAAAAGCACCACAGTACCCCAACATTACTGTGGGCAAACATACAAAATCTGCAGGGGATCCAATCATTACTTTCCCCACGGTATCTAGGAGGGTGCCACAATTAGTTACCCCTAAGGGTAATTTACTCACATAGAGCACGGGTGTCAAACTAGCAGCCCTCCAGATGTTGCCAAACTACAAGTCCCATGAGGCATTGCAAGATTGACAGTTATAAGTATGACTCTCTTGAGACATGATGGGACTTGTAGTTTCACAACAGCTGGAGGGCCGCCAGTTTGACACCCCTGACTTAGGGGATTGCTTGTGTTTAGGAATGATCAGTATTTGTCTTCATATATTTAGTGATTTACTAAGCTGCAATGTTTAGTCTACTAATTGTATGCTTTATTTTCAGAATATCAAATTCCCTTACTGGCAACATTGGTGTAACCCCATCCGGTGATGACGCACTTTTCTCCTCCACTGAAGACATCACAGGTGGCAGGAAGACAAACGGGGGAAATGCGGTCGGTGTAGGTGGCAGGACTGGATAGCTTGAACAGGGTGATGTCATACATGATGGTCACAGCACTGTACTGTACTGGGGGTGTCTGAAGACCTGAGAAAAGTTATGTTAGAATTACATTCCTAGAAATGTAGGCGAAACCAACCAGATAAACCCAACCAGTCTTCACACACACACCCTGTAGGTTTATCTGACTTTCTATTTGATCCATAACAGCGCATTCCTGCCTGGCTTTGAGGACAAAGACAATTAGAGCAATTACTGTTTCCAACTCATTATCTTTTGATTAAAAAAAGTGCTTACTTTGCTGATAGTCTTTCTCTGGGTGGCCTCGGTGGTGGAGGAGCGGTCAAATAAACCCAGGACCACACGGTGGGCAGTCCTGGATGGAAGAGAAAAATGATCATTAGTACTCCTAATTACAAGGAGAAAGCCTTGGAAAGGAGAGTAGCTACATTTTACCAGAATTGGGTCACTAAGAAAGGAAAATTAAGTCCTGGGTATCAATTGGCTCCAGTTTCCAAGATACAGCTTCAGGTCAAAATTGCATCAAACTAATTTAAAATTACGAGGGGGGTGTGCGATTAGGCTCTATAACGTTTCTGCAATAGGTGATTGTGACGGGAGTGACTTTGGGTGGGGGGCCCATGGAACACAGCTCACTTTGGATGGGGGCCCATGGAACACAGCTCACTTTGGAGGGGTGGGGAGACCCCTGTCTCAGCTCCCCGTATCCCTCTGATATGTAAGTCACCCTGTGCCTGTTAGGGGTGCAGGGAGAAATGTCCTGATATTGTGTAGACATGTATAGGAGATAGGTGGGGGTTGTTGATTGTTTGGTGTCATGTGATTGCATCCCATTGTTCTATTATGTGTCTTGCTTGGGAGCAAACTATTATGGGATGTATGTGTTTATGTATTGGCTTGGTGGGGGGTGTCTGCTGATGTGTTTCTTGTTGCTAGATGTGGTTTGCCCTGCCCTGTGTTATTATGCAGGGAGGGGAGAATTGTTCCCTTGAATGTATATATCTTGTGTCTGTGTTAAAATAAAGCAGTCTATTTCCTGGTTTCGTTCGAGAGTGGTGTCCGTGGATCTGTGTTCGGACGGGGAAGCTGGAGTCTAACGGAAATACCCCAGTGCAGTCAATGTCCGGTTCCACTACAGTGATGTAGCAATGAGAATGGGGCCACGCCAATTCATTATATATTTATCTTTTTATTGATACCAATAACATAACTTTCCATTCATTTATTGGATTTTCATGAAACATTTGTAAAAACTGACAAGCTCTAACCCCAGATTGAACGACAAGGTTCCATCTTTATTCGGTATCTAAACTGCGCTTTTCGGCTTTTCTCTTGTGAACTGCAGTAGGATCATCCCTGGAGAGATTCCAGCAGTGATCGGCAGGCATGGATAGACTTCATTTCCCTTGGTATCTTCTCTCCATGCCTGGTGGAATCTCTCCCCTTGCTCATCACTCACAACCCCACAGTTCAAAGAGTAAAAGTCTTAAATGCGAGTGTTAAGCCAGCCATACACGAGTTGAATTCCTAAAGAATTTTCTTTCAAAAATCTTTTCTGAGAATTTTTGTTTGAATTTCGAACCATTAGTGGGGTCACAGAAACGGCTGATTTTTGTGTGATCATCAAATTTGAGTGATCGGGTATGTTGGACATTTTTTTAAAAACAAACTAATTTCGAATCAATGATGGGAGAATTGTGCAAGAAATATAAACGAAAAAGAAACAAGCATGAGCTGTGAACTGGAAAGAAAAGAAAATTCTTAGCTACAAAAATTCCTTTCTGTAGCAACATGAGGGGAAATTGAAGGCTTGGTTGGGTGAATTTCGAAATCAATGGTGGCACCATCAGATTCCAAAACACAAAAAAATTTCTGATTTTCTAAAGAAAATTTGTTCGGAATTCGACCCGTGTATGGCCTGTAGAAGGAGTGAATTTTCAGTGACACGTTTGCACCAAGGGCTTTATAGGACCTAAGCAAATTTTCCAAGTGTGTTTCATAGTTATCAGCTTTGCTGATCCCAAGATCCTCCATTGCCACGGACTTGAAGGCTTTTCATGTCTTCTTTTCCTTGCCGTGCAGCAGACGATCAAACTTGTCATCTCGGAGAAGTACTTGAATCTGTGGACCGACAAAGAGGTCTTCATTGATTTAAAGGCTTCGTGTGTCTTCTTTTCCTTGCCGTGCAGCAGACGATCAAACTTGTCATCTCGGAGAAGTACTTGAATCTGTGGACCAACAAAGAGGCCTTCATTGATTGCAAGGTTTCTCATGTCTTCTTTTCCTTGCCGCGCAGCAGACGATCAAACTTGTCATCTCGGAGAAGTACTTGAATCTGTGGACCAACAAAGAGGCCTTCATTGATTGCAAGGTTTCTCATGTCTTCTTTTCCTTGCCGCGCAGCAGACGATCAAACTTGTCATCTCGGAGAAGTACTTGAATCTGTGGACCAACAAAGAGGCCTTCATTGATTGCAAGGTTTCTCATGTCTTCTTTTCCTTGCCGCGCAGCAGACGATCAAACTTGTCATCTCGGATAAGAACTTGAATCTGTGGACCAACAAAGAGGCCTTCATTGATTGCAAGGTTTCTCATGTCTTCTTTTCCTTGCCGCGCAGCAAACGATCAAACTTGTCATCTCGGAAAAGTACTTGAATCTGTGGACCAATAAAGAGTCCTTCATTGATTGCAAGGTTTCTCATGTCTTCTTTTCCTTGCCGTGCAGCAGACGATCAAACTTGTCATCTCGGAGAAGTACTTGAATCTGTGGACCAACAAAGACGCTTCACTTCTTTCCAAGTCTTGGAATCTTTTCATAGAAATATTTGAAACCTGGTTTTGTTTTGTCTGTAGCCTTTACAAAGTTCTTCATCAGCCCCAGCTGCATATGCACCGGTGGTAACAAAATTTTCTAAGAGTCAACAGGAGCTGAATTTTGAACATGTTTCTTTCCTGGCTTCGAGAAGATACGAGGCATTATGATCATCAGACACCTCCCTCCCTTCTAGGTGAATATACCCACCTGTGTATAAATCTTTATTGTTAAATATCCTAAAAACTTTAGCCAACCAGCACCTTTATCACCTGTTTTCTAATTCCTCTAATCAAAATATGTATGAATTAGCACATTTTATCTCGGAGGTCAATAATTTTCCAAAATTTGTAGACCAGTGTAATCCAAACCAGTTGCGTATCATCACCCAAGGGAAGGGATGCCCACTGTGCCCTGCCACACTCTGCACACTGAGGGTTATCCATTCTGGATCCACTGCTGCTGTGATTCCCCCCCACCCACCCACTGCCGCCACTGCTCTTCCCCATGTCTCCACTTCTTCTCACTGCTCAACATCCCCCCACCGCTCTGCCTGTCCTCCAAAATGCTCCCCTTCCACTCTTATGTGCCCCTCCCAGTTACGGCATCCTGCAGAACTGCCATTTCACCCCCGGCACCATTCTCCTGTGGCTTCCTTGCCACTACCGGATTCTTCTTTCTCCTCTAACCGGCTTTGGATGCTGCAGGGGAGCCACAGGGGGATTTAACTCTGCAAATAGATTCCCCTAACTTCTCCAAATGTACTGGCCCACTCCATCACCGATACCCCAGCGCCCCCTCCCTGCTGATCCCCTGGACAGATCCCTGTCCTCCACCTTTGCTGGGACTGGAGATTGGTGTCAGGATGGAGAGCAGGGGGAGGGGAATGTCATATTTACCAGGCCTTTCTGAATGAATATAGTGAGCAATCGGTACCAATCGCTCCTGTGTTCATCTGTGTTTACTATGCTTCAGTTTGGGAATGAATAGGAAGCCTCCACACAGGAAGCCTCTGCTGCTCTGAGGGCTCATTCACATGTAAAACCACAGCTCAGCCTAAAGGTTTGACCGTCCCCCCCAACCACAAATATGAAAGAGTCCTGACTGGGGTAAAATCAGGGCTGCAGAGTACCATGGAAAGAGTAACCACTGGAAGTGGCCTCTGTACCTCCCTCTGTGCTCATACTCCCCACCCCTGCACCCCTCCTATCTCTCCCCTCCTCCCTCTGCTCCATTTCTCTCTCTCCTTCCCACTCTCTGCACCCTCCCTGTATCACACTCCATCTATCCTATTTCTCCCATCTATTCCTATATCCCTGCCCCCCCATCTCTCTTCCTCCTCCCAATTCTCTTTCCTTATCCCCCTCTCTCTCTCTCTCTCCCCCCCCCCCCCCCCTTCCTCTCCATCAAAATTTGTCTGGCTCAGAAGAGACCGGTAAAATTACGGTCCACCTCTGGCCATTTCCACTCAACAAAAGTTGATCTAAGAACTGACGTCAAAACGGGAATGTTGGATTATATTTGCCGATCATCGGCTGCAGCCACTGATTGGAGAATCCTGGAGAAGAACGCAATGTCCCTAGTGGGGAGGACTCCTCCATCCACCTCACTTGTGTAGATGGGGGAATATTTTTTTTGGCTAAATGAAAAAAAAAAAAAAAAAAAGATTACTCTGCAGGCACCATCACTCCAGACCCCTTCAATCCATGTATGTTGGATGTCCTGACCAAAGTGTTCCTTATCTCAACTGTTGCTTCTTTAACCCCTCGCCTACCAGGAACCCCCCCCCCCCTTCCTGCCCAGGCCAATTTTCAGCTTTCAGCACTTTATGATGTCCTTCCACAACAAGAGAACCGCCTCCCATCCGCCATTTCCCTATATGGAGGTGGTTAAGGTAGGCTCAGTCAGGCAAAATTATATCTTTTTTGTGTGCAGAAAGGCATATGTAAATGAAAGTTTAACCTCCCTAGTGGTCTGATTATGTCCATATTTCTGTGCTCAAAGCGGTACATTTTTTTGCATGGAAATATGTAGTTTTTTTATTGTCGGCCTGTAATTCTTAGGAATAACTCCCTGAAATCTGTCCGGACAAGAGTCTAGTAAACATCCCGGGGAGGATACAATTTGAAACACGAAATCATAAATTATAATTTAATAAATAATCATAAAAAAGAATAATGTAATAATAATAAATGTAATTCAATAATATCATCAAACCAAAAACACTGAAATGTGAAATATAGAGCGCCAAGTTGGCCCATCGCTGAGCTCAGTCGCAGAATCGTTTTCAGTGTCTGATGAGGAATTTCCCCCACCAATCATTATCACTCCATTCTGCAAGTGGTTCTGATTTACTATCGCTGTTCTCTAGCCGGTCTAAAACCGCGTCTGACCTAAAGGGACGCTTTTTGGACGCCATGGACGTTTCTCAGTTTCCAGGCAGAAAGGGCAGTAAAAATGCAGGCAGGGCGCCGGACAAAGCACTCGGGACACAATGTATGTGAAATGGTTGGATACAGGAATGTTATACTATGTGATTTTAGTGTATTTAGTGAATGTCATTTTTACAATTTTACAATTTCCCGCCAGTTCCATCCCCCGTACGTCCCGACGTCGCAGGGAACGGAACCCGGAAGATAGATGCCGGCATCGGCCGGAGGACATTTCAGGGGACACTGCAGGGGGGACATCGCGGGAGCGCAGGACAAGGTAAGTGATCGAGGGATCCCGGAGCAACGCTGCAGTGTATTCCTGAGTGTAGCTCGGGGGGGGGGGGGGGTTACTGCTTCTGGTGCTGAAACTTTACCCCGAGCTACACTCGGGAATACTGCCAGGGGGGTTAACTGTTTTTGTATGTAGCACTACCCCCTTAGGGATCACTGATGAATTGGCTCCCCCATAGTCCTGCACAGCAAGTTGTTCTGCATTTTTCACACAAGCTTTCATCCAGAGAGAGAAATCAATCTTTGAGTGTTTGTTTTGTTATTATATTGAAGGGATCAGAACTTGGATGGGGTAAGTGGAGGAGTATAGGATGCCCAAGGGAACCAATAACTGAGGACCTGTCCTTCCAACCCCATGTCCAATCGTTGGCAAACTCATGCAGGCTCCACCTCTGCAACATCTCCAAAATACGCTCCTTCCTTACCCCATACACCACTAAAATACTCGTTCACTCCCTTATTATCTCACGCCTGGACTACTGCAACTCCCTCCTCACCGGCCTCCCTCATCACAGACTATCCCCGCTTCAGTCTATCCTGAACTCAGTGGCCAGACTCATCCACCTTACCAACCTCTCCGCATCTGCCACCCCCCTCTGCCAATCCCTCCACTGGCCTCCACTCAGTGTCCTCCACCCCTCTCTGCCAATCCCTCCACTGGCCTCCACTCAGTGTCCTCCACCCCCCTCTGTCATTCCCTCCACTGGCCTCCACTCAGTGTCCTCCACCCCTCTCTGCCAATCCCTCCACTGGCCTCCACTCAGTGTCCTCCACCCCCCTCTGTCATTCCCTCCACTGGCCTCCACTCAGTGTCCTCCACCCCTCTCTGCCAATCCCTCCACTGGCCTCCACTCAGTGTCCTCCACCCCCCTCTGTCATTCCCTCCATTGGCCTCCACTCAGTGTCCTCCACCCCCCTCTGTCATTCCCTCCACTGGCCTCCACTCAGTGTCCTCCACCCCCCTCTGTCATTCCCTCCACTGGCCTCCACTCAGTGTCCTCCACCCCTCTCTGCCAATCCCTCCACTGGCTTCCACTCAGTGTCCTCCACTCAGTGTCCTCCACCCCCCTCTGTCATTCCCTCCACTGGCCTCCACTCAGTGTCCTCCACCCCCCTCTGTCATTCCCTCCACTGGCTCCCGATTGCCCAACGCATTAAATTCAAACTACTAACACAGACATACAAAGCCATTCATAACTCCACCCCAAACTACCTCACCGACCTGATACCCAAATAGCACCCTACCCGTAATCTTCGCTCCTCACAAGACCTCCTACTTTCTAGCTCCCTGGTCTCCACCTCCCACGCCAGACTGCAGGACTTCTCCAGGACTTCCCCATCCTCTGGAACTCACTACCCCAATCCATCAGACTGTCACCTACCCTCCTCACCTTTAGGCGCACCCTGAAAACCCATCTCTTCAGGGAAGCCTACCGCACCCTCACCTAACAGCCGATCTCCTCCACTCCTCCTACCACTCCATCCCACACAGCCACTTCCTCCTGTACCACTATCTCCTCCTCCTCCTAGATTGTAAGCTCCCAGGATCAGGGCCCTCGCACCCCTCGTGTATTGTATTGTTACTGTATTGTCTCATGTTCTGTCCCCACTATAATGTACAGCGCTGAGCAAACTATTGGAGCTATATAAATCCTGTATAATAATAATAATGACAACTTCCTGAACTAGTCACAAGCTTCTCCTTCTTCAGCAACACAGCCTCTGTTGGAGTGCTAACCAGCATCTCCAAGTTGTAACACCCCAGACCCTAGATCAGTGGTTTCCAAACTGCGGCCCAGGGGCCAAATGTGGCCCTTTGCTTGCCTTTATCTGGCTTTTGGAGCTCTACTTTATTCACTGACACCTACGATGGGACACAGTTCCTCCCAGTGACACAAACAATGGGGCCCAATAACACCAAAGATAAGCACATTCTTTCCAATGACAGGGCACAATTCCTCCCTTTGACACCAGTAATAGAGCACAATTCCTCCCAATGACACCAACAAAGGTGCCCAATGACACCAATGTTGGGGCATAATTCAGATAAATGGCATATACAGGAGCCGATCCTCCTTATTTTCCTCCTGAAACTGCTGAAAGCTGACTACTCCTCTTTTCCCTCCCAATGGCATTCAGCAGCTGCAGAAGGAAAATGTTCATTATGCGATTCCACAGAAAAAAAATTTAAATTCTGAACCATTTCATTTCATTGTGGCTTACAGCCGGATACCAAATCACTTAAGTGGCCCTCGCTGTTCAAAAGGTTGAGCCCCCCTGATCTAGCCCTTAAGAAGGGGGATTGACACTGAAATGCATTAGCGTTTAGCTTCCTGTTGTCAACACAACTGTACAGTCTTTGTATTGGAATATCATCATATAAGACTCACGTGATGCCACAGTGGGCAGCGGTGACAACCCAGTGACGGTTAATGAGGGAGCCGCTGCAAAAGGCAAATCCAGCGCTGTCCTGTAAAAGAAACGTCATCAGATTATTGCTTTGTCTACTGATACTTTTACCTTCCTATGAAGCAAGGCCTTGGCTCAGACCTGAACATCGCAAATTTTGGTTTACAGCACCTGAACAGTCCACAACAAGAAGATGGTTCAGGTGAGATCTCTGTATCGGTGTCTCAATTTCCTGATTGTAGCATTTTAAGAGCATTCTATAGGGTGCAGCTAGGGGCAGGTCCAAGCTATTTTTTGGGGGGTGCTATGTTGGGAGAGTAATACACACAGCATGCTGCCTGCCAAACACTTGCAAGTGAGACCAAAAAAGTAGGCATGGCCAAAAAGTGGGTGTTTCTTTATGGCTTTGGACTTGTAGTGTGTCACCTTCCCCCTTTGTATAAACAAGATAGGACCTTCAAGTACACTGAAGAGTACACCCTCCATCCTCTGGTCACCTGTGTACCCTTTTCTATCTACTGATTACCTCTGTACACCCTCCATCCTCTGGTCACCTCTGCACACCATCCCTCCATCAACTGGTCTCCTCTGAACACTCTCCATCCTCTGGTCACCTCTGCACACCTTCCCTCCATCAACTGGTCACCTCTGCACCCCTTTCCATCCACTGGTTACCTCTGCACACCCTTCATCCTCTGGTCACCTCTGAACACCCTCCATCCTCTGGTCACCTCTGAACACCATTCATCCTCTGGTCACCTCTGAACACCCTCCATCCTCTGGTCACCTCTGCACACCTTCCCTCCATCAACTGGTCATCTCTGCACCCTTTTCCATCCACTGGTTACCTCTGCACACCCTTCATCCTCTGGTCACCTCTGAACACCCTCCATCCTCTGGTCACCTCTGAACACCCTCTATCCTCTGGTCACCTCTGCACACCATCCCTCCATCATCTGGTCTCCTCTGAACCCTTTTGCATCCACTAGTTACCTCTGCACACCCTTCATCCTCTGGTCACCTCTGAACACCATCCATCCTCTGGTCACCTCTGAACACCCTCCCTCCATCAACTGGCCCTTTTTTTTAAACCTTTTTTTGGAAATTTGGGGGGGAAAATTTTTTCAAAATTTTTTTAGGTTTTAGACCTTTTGGGGGGGGGGTTTTTTTTTTTTTTTTTTTGGGGAGGGGAAACAACCCTTTTTGGGGGGGAAATAAACAAAAAATTTGGGGGCCCAAAAAAATTTTTTTTTTTTTTTTTGGGAAAATTTTTTTTTTTGGATTTGGGGGGTTTTTTTTTCCTTTTTCCCCGGGACCCTTTTTAATTTCTTTTCCCCCCCCCCTTTTTTTCCCCCCCCTTTAAAATTTTTTTCCCCCCCCCCAAATTTTCCCCCAAAATTTTTCCCCCTAATTTTTCCCTTTTTTTTCCCCCCCTTTTTTTCCCCCCAAAATTTCCCGGCCCCTTTTCCCCCCCTTTCCCCCGGGCCCCCCCAAACCCTTTTCCCCGGTAACCCCCCCCCCTTTTTTTTTCCCCCCCCCCCCCCCCCTTGGGCCCCCCCCCCTTTTTCCCCCCGGAATGCTCCACACTACCGCATTCTCCTACCCTATCACATACTCCTCCACCTACCCCTAATGCCTCCTCCACTGCCCACTGCCATCGTCCGCTTCCAATACCTTTTCCTCCTCTAACCCCCACCCATCCACCCCTCACCTCATCCCTATCCCCATCTATTTGCTCCCCACACCCCTCTTATACTTCCCTCCCTCCTCCCTTTCCCCTCCTTACAATTACCCGTACCCCGTTCCCCCCCCACCCCCCACCCACCCCATACACTCGCCCTTTCGCATTCCCACCTACTCACCTTTTCCCTTCGCCATCTCCGGCCCTTCCTCTCTGCCCCACCCAACACTCCTTCACCACTGCTCATCCTACCAGCCTGTCTTCAGCTCCTCTCTACCCCCACCTTCACCTACCCTTCCATACCCCCTCTTCCGTACACCTATTCCCCATTTTGTAGGGTGGTTATGGGGGGGTGGTGGGGGGTTGGTGTGGTGTGGTGTCCGCTCCCTGCTCCCTCCTCCTCTCTTCCCCGACGCCTTCTATCCTCCTGCTCTAATCACCACCATGCTGCCACATCCCCCCCCCCCCCCCCCCCCCCCCTTTTTTTTTTTTTTCCCCCCCCCCCCCCTTTTTCCCCCGGCCCCCTTACCCTTTTCCCGGGTTTTACCCCCCCCCAAAACCCCTTCCCCCCCCAAAAAAAATTTTTGGGAAAAAAGGGGCCCCCTTTCCCAAATTTTTTTTTTTTTTTGGGGTTTTTGGGGGAAAATTTTAATGGGGGAAAAACCCCCCTTTTTTTTAATTCGGGGGAAAAAAGGGGGCCCAAAAACCCCCCAAAAAAAACCCCCCGGGGGGTTTTTTTTAAAAAAGGGGCCCAAAAAAAGGGGGGCCCCCCAAACCCCAAAAACCCCAAAAAAGGGTTTTTTGGGGGGCCCCCCGGGCGGGTTTAAATTTTTTTTAAAATCCCCTTTTTTTTTAAAATTTGGGGGCCCCCCTTTTTAAAAAAAAAGGTTTAAAAAATTTTTTTTTTTTAAAAGGGGGGAAAGGGGGGGGGGGGGTTTTTTTTACTTAAAAAAGGGAAGGGCCCCCAAAAGGGGGGAAAAAAAACCCCCCCCCGGGGGGAAAAAAAAAGGGGAAAAAAAAAGGGGGGGGGGGGGGTTTTTAAAAAAGGGGGGGGGGGGGCCCTTTTTAAAAAAAAGGGGGGGGGGAACCGGGGTTTGGGGGGAAAAAACCCCCAAAAAAAGGGGAAAGGGGGGTTAAAAAATTTCCCAAAAAAGGGTTCGAGGGGAAAAAGAGGGGAAAAAGTTTCCCGGGGGTTTTTAAAAAATTTTAAAAGGAAGGGCCCGGGTTTTTTTTTTTGGGGGGAAAAAGGGGGGAAATTTTGGGGGGGGTTTTTGGGGGTTTAAAAAAACCCCTTTTTTTTTCCCCCGGGGGTTAAAAAAAAAAAAAAAACCCCCCCCGGGGGAAAACCCCCGGGGACCCCCGGGCCCCCCCAAAAAAAACCAAAAAAAAAAAGGGTAAAAAAAGGCCCCTTTTTTGAAAAAAATTTTGGGGGAAAAATTTTTAAAAAAATGGAAAAAAACCCCCCGGGGAAAAGGAATTTTCCAAAAATTTTTAAAAAATTAAAAAAAAAAACCAAAAAAAAAAATTTTTTTAAAAAAAAAAAAAAATTAAAAAGAAACCCAAAAAAATTTCCCCGGAGGTTTTAAAAAATTAAACCAAAAGGGGGGGAATTTAAAAAAAAGGGGAAAAAAAAAACCTTTTTAAAAAAAAAAAGGGCCCTTTTCTTTTAAAAAAAAAGGTTTTTTAAAAAAAGACAAAAGGGGAAAAACCAAAGGGGAAAAAAAAAAAGGGAAAAAAAAAAGGGGGGGGGGGGGGAAAAAAAAAAAAAAAAAGGGGAAAAAAAAAGGGGGAAAAAAGGGCCCAAAAATTTAAAACCCCGGGGAAAAATTTTGGAAACCCAAAAAAAAAAAAAAGGGGGGAAAAAAAAGGGGGGTTTTTAAAAAAGGGGGGGTTTTAGAAAAGAAAAAAAAACCCAAAAAAAGAAACCCAAAATTTTTAAAAAAAAATTTGGAAACGGGGAAAAAAAGGGGGGAAAAAAAAAATTTTTTTTTTAAAAAAATTTTTTTTTTTAAATTTTTTTTTTTTTTTAAAGGGTTTTTTGGGAAAATGTTTTTTGTTTTGGGGGGGGCCCTTTTTTTTTTTTTAATTTTTTAATTTTTTTTTTTTGGGGGAAATTTTTTTTTTGGGGCCCTTTAAAAAAGTTTCCCCTTTTTGGGGGGGGAAAGGGCCCCCCCCAAAAGAAACCCCCCCCCCCCCTAACCCCGGGGCCCCCACCGGGGGGGAGGGGGCCGGCCCGGGGTTTTTTTTTTCCCCCCCCAAACCCTTTTTTTTCCCCCCAAATTTCCCCCGGGAAAAAAAAATCCGGGTTTTTTCCCCCCCCCCCCCCCCCCTTTTTTTCCCCCCCCCCCCCCCCCCCCCCTTTCCAAACCCCCCCCTTTCCCCCCTTTGGGGGGGGGGGGGGGGGGGGTTTTTTTAAAAAATTTTTCCCCCCTTTTTTTTTAAAAAAAAGGGTTTTTTTTTTTCCCCTTTTTTTTTGTGCTATACCCATCATCCCTCTCAACCTCCCCCGCTTTTCCTTCCTCCCCCATTCACCCAACCTTTTGCACATTATTGTCCACCCCACCTCCCTCTCCTCTCTTTCCCTATTGCACTACCCTCCCCATATTCCCTCCTCCTGCTCCTTCTATTCTCTCTAACCATATAATCTAACTCAACCCCTTCCCCTACTCACCTCTCCTCCTCGTTCTTCGCCACCCTCCCCCAACAAACCCCTCACTCCCTATACATCTCCCTTCCATTCACAGCACCCCACCTGCCCTCTCCGCTCCATTTCTATCTCCTCCCCCTTCTCATCCCCCTTATACACCTCTTTGTCTTCTTTTACTTCTCATCTCGATGGCGTTCCTCACTCTCACTTCTCCCCCCTTACCGCTTAGCCGCTATCCCTACCCCCACTAACAAACTCCCTCGAATCCAAAACTCGTCCACTCACTACATCCCTCATCCTCTCGCAAATGTCACCCTAAATTCCCCCCTCCTCACCATAAGAACATCCTCGCCCCTACTCCCGTCCACCTCCATTTTCCCTGTCCCCACTCACGCCTCTCATCTCCTCTCCGCTACCGCCACCACCCCACCCCTATCCCTCCCCCCCACCCTCTTCCCCCCCAGCCCTCCTCCCCCTTCCCCCCCCCCCTCCCCTCCTTTTGTACCCACCCTCCCCGCATCCCCCCCCCCTCCTCCCCCCCCCACCGTCACCCCCACCCCCGCTTCTCCCCTTCCAGACTCTCTCCCTTCCAGCCTCCTCCCACCCTCCTATCCTTGCCTCCACTAGCCCTCTCGCCCTCCTATCACCACCATACCTCCCCCTCCCCCAATACTAATCTGCTCCATCACCTCTGCTCACCTCCGCCTAACTATGTCCCGCTAATCACGTACACCTCC